AGGCAGGGAGAGGGGGAGACTGAAGGTGAGAGAGAGGGAGAGAGAGAGAGGCAGGGAGAGGGGGAGACTGAAGGTGAGAGAGAGGGAGAGAGAGAGAGGCAGGGAGGGGGAGAGACTGAAGGTGAGCGAGGGGCAGGGAGGGGGAGAGACTGAAGGTGAGCGAGGGACGGACAGAGGAAGGGGTGCCTGGTGCTGAATGCCAGTGCATGAAAGACTTAGGATGAGAAAGAGCGTATGTGAGAGGGACTGCACAGATGAGGGGGAAAAGAAGGTGTTTATGGATGAGGATGGATAACTGTCCTGTTTTCTGATGTAACAACAACTGAAGTTCAGACAAGATCTATATTGATTAATTGTGAGGTGATGAGTGTGATTTGCGTGCTTTCTATTTTGATCCCATAGCATCTGTGTTCTGCTCTTAGTACAGGGAAATGATTGATCAGCGGAAATCTTGTTTACCCATCTCCACAGGCCTACAATTGAGTGGAATTGGCAATGTATAGTCTGGGTTAAGGTGACAACTCTGTTTAGAATGGAAAGTTTGGACTTGACGTGTCTTCTTTCTCTTCCAGGCCATGGATAACCTCCTGCGCTGTGGTATCTGTTTTGAATACTTCAACATTGCCATGATGATCCCTCACTGTTCGCATAATTGTAAGTATTCTGCACGCCACCGTCCTAATACTGGTGGCTGAGATGTTTTCACCAGTGCAGCACATTTCTGTAGAGTTGTGAAAGTAGTTTTAAGCTGCTCCCCGTGTAACCTGTAACGAGCATTGACTTAGGCTGGTATGTTTCAGATGATTGTTGGTGTGCACAGTGACTGCAGATGGCCTTTCCATGACTGTATGCGTGTGGGACAAGACAGACCTGTGTGACATATCACAACAGCGGATCTGACAGGCAGCACCAGTAAGATACGAGCAGATACGGTGGGCTGAATATGGCTACATCGAGTTGAGTTGAGTTTTGCCTTTTGGAGGGTTACTTGTTATGAAACCTTGTGAGATTTCTCACTGTCTTACAAAGTTGCCTTGTCAACCACCTACCCTGCCCCTTTGCCATTTTCCAATTTCCACCCCAACTTGCCGCCCGGTGTTTCCACTGCAACTTGCTACTCAGTGGGCTTCCACTGACACTCCAGCATTGCTGGTGTCTGCACCGTCTCTAAAGGACCAGACAAGTGTTGGCCATCTTTGGCAATGCAGTGGCACAGCAGCTACACTGTTCTTGGCACAAGGCTGGCATGGTTGACACTCCCTTGTACATAGAGCGACATTCTGTGATCTCCGGCGCTGTTTAACTATCATGCTACGCACTTTACCTGCCTGTAGCTACATCCTGTCTGAACGCCCTCTCTAACGTCAGTGCTGCCCTATCTCCGGTGTCCACTGTAGAACCGAATCTTGGCATTGCCCAGTCGGGGAATGTCACAAAAAGGCGAGCAACTGGATGAATACAAAATCAAACCCTGAGCTTTTATAGAGTCATTATTTACAAAAAGCAAAAGGGGACAAAACTGAAGGCTGAGCTCCTACAATGCCAACCAGATTTTGGCAATATGACCAAAATAGTTTGGAGTCGGCCATTGTCTGCTTCACCCAGCTTTCGTCTACTGGAACTAGGTGTCAGTCAGGTTCTGTCTGGCTCGAAGCACCAAACGCAGCTGAGCTCTGTCATGGAGAGCATCAGCTTCCTCCTCCCCCGTGTCCTCCTCTTCTGCAGAAGGTTTCCCCTATTCCCCCAGTTCCTCAGCATCCAGCTCATGGCCTTGCTGCCCACTGCAGTTGCGCAGAGCGCAGGATGGTGGGACAGACTCTGTTTGGACTAGACTGGAGAGTTATTCCCTGACTGGTTCTTCTGCTTGGACCACCTCTTTAGTAGCTCCACCTTTTGCTCCACTGTTGGGAAACACAGGCAGCATTGTATTGGAGCTCGGCTGTCATTGGTGCAATTTCCTGCAGACAATGGCTGCACACACTGCACCCAATAATGAGAGACATGTTTCCATCATACATCCACTTTCAGGTTTAATCTGGGCAGCAACTTGATGCAGTGGTTTACCCCATGTCATCGACAAGGAAATATCTGCAGCTGCTCCGACACCTAGCCAACTCTGGACCCCCATCAAACACTCAACTAAACACAGCATTCAGACCACAGCATTGTCACACTAACATGACAGATGACACAATGTGTGCCTCGCACCCAGGACCTGTGGAGGTTGTGTGAGCAGTGGTTCCCTTCAGCGAGTACGGACCTTTTATGATGTCACTGCTGCTACTTCCACATCATTCAGATGCCCAAGTTCAACCAGCGATCACCAATGGGATGTTACAAATTACCTTTGACCAACATCTGACCCTTAAGCATCCTCAGTTTGAATGTGCTGCAATTGGGCAATGGCATGGTTGCTAATCCATTAAAGCAACAATCTGTAGTGACAACAACATGAAGCGGGTGCCCACAATGTTGTGGGGTCCAGCAAATGTTGCTCTCCGCCGACCCTGGAATTTTCTTGTATTGAGAAAAGGGAAAGTGAAGACAGAGAAGGAAGATTGTGCTGGACACCTTCAGCACGGAGCTCCTCTTAGTCACCAGGTTACATCCCCAAATAAGTGTTTGGCAAACACAAAAAAACTTCATAATATGAGAGAAAGGTAGTATGGAGGCTGAGAGATATTAGAAACTCAGAAAACTACCATTTTACTATCATGGAGTTATTTAGTGAAGCAGAGTATGAAACACTCGATGGTTTGATGGTATAGTGAGTCAGTGCTCCTGCTCTGCGGGATATAATGAACAGTTCACTTTTAGTCACAGCAGGGTACAACATTTCTTTTGTGGGCACCTCTTGATCGTTACTGTTTGATTTTCTGGGGTTACCTCTTGATTTTCAGCAGCTACATTTTCATTCTCATTAAATTATTTGGACTTAGAAGCAGAATTAGAAGAATTCATCAATATCCTCAATAGTCATCAACCCTGTGAAACTTAAAGCCGTAATGCAGAAGAAAAACATGAACTTCCTAAATAACACTGAAATTAAATTTGCACGAGACAACAGACATAAGTTAGCAATGAAAATAATTGATGCATACTTCAGCCACACAACCATAACCTAAAGCACACCTGCTGCAGATTTGAGAGGTTAGAGCAAATTTGTTTCTACTATTTATGTACAAAGCTGGACGTTTTAACCTGGCAGACACTTTTCGCTGCATCTTGAATCACCATCTCATTTAAATTTAACATTGGACCATGTTCACCTCATTGGCATACACAACATTTCCCACTGTAAGTTAGGTTCTGAACATATGCAGCCTTGAGCTAGAGATACCAATCAATTTCTAAGTCATTCATTGCTTCAGTGATTTAAAGCCTTTGAGTTATGAGTATTCCCTTCCCATGACTGTGGTCTCCCTCTCTCACCTGATTTTCGGCCTCTTCTCATCTCCCTGCAGTTTCCCTAACAACTTCCTTGTCGACAGCATTTACTTACTCCATTACAAGTTGTTTCTCCTGTGTTTGCTATTAATTGGTTCACTTGGTCACGTTTCTATTTACAAGGTTTGATTGGCCCCATAAGTGAACTTTCGTTAGGAGTGGTGGAGGGGGTGGATCTGCCTGTTTTAAACCCCCCCACCCCTGGAACTTTGAGCACTATCACAACCCTTATGGGTGTTGCTTTATAATCGTATTGTGCAGTGGTTTAGAAATGAAGTAACTTACATGCTGCTTCTCCTCCTTGCCCCTATGCTTGGCTTTCTTGTCCCTTTTCGGAGCTAGACCATAAAACCACAGAATCCCTACAGTGTGTAAGCGAGTCTACACTGACCCTCTGAAGAACATCTCACCCAGACATACCCCTTGCTACCCTATTCCTGTAACCCTGCATTTCCTATGACTAACCCACCTAGCCTGCACATCCTGGGACACTATGGGTAATTTAACATGGTCAATCCACCTAACCTGCGCATCTGTGAACTGTGGGAGGAAACTGGAGCACGCAGACTGATGGCCTGCTATGATAGCCTGGACTGGACTTACCTTACTGTGTAAGTACAGTTAATCAGAATTTTGCGTAGTTAATCCTGCAATGATTTTTTTAGCTTCTCACAAAATATATGACCACAAATCTCAACAAATCCATTAAAACTCCCACCAAAAGTACATTTTATGGCTGAACTGTAACTACACTTTTGAAGTAAGAATGAAAAAAATTAGAACATTTTCCACCACTTAAAATGAAATCTCTCATGACGAATGAGAACTGTGATCCCTCGCTTTATCAAGCTGCTGTCTGCTCATGAGGTTTTCAGCCTGAGGTGTAACATCATGATGATTTATGATGCAGACAGTATGTCGTTAATCTGTGAATTCTGCTTGTCAAATCACCAGCTCCACCTTTAAAAAGCTTGCTTGTGAGACTACTCAATAGAAGTTCAGCCAGGCAACCAAATTATTGTGAAATCTGTCTGTGTTGAGCAGCCTGTTATTTGAAACAAACTTATCCCCCTGACAGTATGTAGAGTGTTTTTCTCTAGTGTATTGCCTTTTGTTTGTGGAATAAAACTATAACTTTTGGCAGCCTGTGAGTTTTATTTCATTCATTTTATGGGACTCAAGTGTACAATTAGAATTAATTGAAGCCAGCCTATGTTCTGTATTGCTCCGTACCTTTTGTGTTGGGGAAGAGTGAGCTGACTTTTCAGTTCCTTCAGTCAAATGTTACCAGGCGGACCATTGTTAGTCTTGGATGAGCGCAGATCCTATGTGCTTCTGGCCTCAGATCTGTCATGTCCCCTGCTGCTTATCTCCAGCTAAACCTGATGCACTGGCAGGTTTCACTCCAGTTAAACTCCCTCACATCTGATGTGTTCTCCCCTGAAGCGCTGCCTGTCCTTTTTGCGCACCATTACAGCCAAAACTCCAATTTGTACCTTTTTCATCTCAACTTCTCCAGTCTTGTCAAAGCCTCCTGCTTTCATGCTCCATTTACTCTGATTGAAATAAGAATTCTGAAACCTGGATCCTCTCCCGGATTTTCAACATACTGAGTCCTTCCAAATTCCCTGCATTTTAACATTTCTATCCTGCAATCCCATGGCTCTATCTTGCCCAGCCTCTGCATGATCGTCCCGTCACGTGCCCCCCGACATGGGTTTGCTGCTTCCCCAACCCTGGTTTGCTCTTTTTATTCACTCACGGGATATGGGCATCCCTGGCAAGCCCAGCATTTTTGGTTTATCCCTGATTGCTTTTGAGAAGATGGTGGTGGTGACCTACCTTTTTGAACTACTTCTGAAGCTCTTTTTTTTTTTGTAGGGATTTTGATGCAACTGAATGCTCCAAAATGGACTAGCAAGCCAAAGCTGGAAGTCAACCCCATTCATGTGGTTCTGAAGCGACACATACTTGCAGACCTAGTGTGCACAGTGCATTGCCTTTAAGGGACATTAGTGCGAGTCACTTGGGTTTGACAACAGTCAGATTGTGACATAGTCAGCGAACATTGTCAACAGACGCTCACTGACTCCCCAACAAATAATCATTGTATCTGTTCTGGTTGGGAACGAATTGGTGAGGGTCTGGTCTTATTGTGGCGATGGGAAGTCGGTGAGGGTGTGGTCTGGTTGTGGCAGCGGGGTGGAGTTGGTGAGGATCAGGTCTGGTTGTGGCAGTGGGGGGCGAAGTCGGTGAGGGTCTGGTCTGGTTGTAGATGTCAATGAGCTGGCCTAGTTATGATGGGCAGACTGGCTGCTTTCTGGGCTGGAAGATTCTTGGATACCATGAATATGGCGAGGCATTGTTAATTCCATTGCTAGGAATATAGCAGTAGAAAGCCATGACGTTGGGGCACAGGAATCGTGCTGCTGACTGGAGATAAATACGGAGTAAGAAAATGTGGAGTTGCCGTCAGGACAGACTTACACGTGATACATTTCTCTCATAATGCGCCAGACTGTTGCCTTTCTGTGCGTTGTATCAGATGACTTGGTCTGGTATTTCGTGATATAACCTACTCCTTGTATCACAGTTTCTTGACTGAGCAAGTGACAGTGAACTTACTCCTTGGTCAATGCACTGTAGCAGTGTAACTGGGAGATTGGGAATGATCTGGGAATGCCACAAAAAAATTTATTGAACTAATTTCTTATTGTTCCATCTTATCTTGCAGTCCCGTTTTTCTTGGCAAGCTGAGTGATCTCTAGTCCTCCAGATCCGCTTAAGCCACATTTCAGTTATGCTTCGGACTGTGATGATTCCGCAATCCTTACCAATTGTTGCCCAAGCAATATTTTGACCTGCTGTTTTTCTTTCCTCCTTTTTTTGTTTTGCCTTTGTGCTCTCCCAAATTCCTCAGGGTGGTCTCTAATATTGGCACTTGTATTTTATCAGTCCGAAATGACCATTTGTAAAATGAACCTGGACAGTGGAAAGCAGTGCCATTGTGTCCTGGGGTGGAATCACGGTCATGGAGCTTCATCCAACTTCGTGACACCCATAATGCAGAGAAATGCCCGTCAAACAGGAGTCTCATGGAGACTGCTTCTAAATGTGGGGGGACTGGTGAGTTTGCCAAGGAAAATGGGACCACAAGATGAGATGGAACAAAAGGAAATCAGGTCAGTAAATCTCTGTGGCATTCCAAGATCATTCCCAGGCTCCCAGTTACATTGCTACAGTGCAGTGACCGAGGGGAAAGTTCACTATCACTTGCTCAGTCAAGAAACTGTGATGCAAAGAGTAGGTTATATCACAAAATACCAAACCCAGTCATCTGATACAATGCACAGAAAGGCAACAGTCCGGTGCATTTATAGGAAGAGAAATGTATCACATGTAAGTCTGGCCTGACAGTAACTCCACATTTTCTTACCTACAGTCAGCAGCATAATTCCTATGTCCCACTGATTTACAAAGACAAGAACCAAAGGAAAAGTCGGAGGTGACAATATCTGTAGGGAAGGTTTAACAGTAGCCTGCTGCGGCTGATGCAATTTAACATTACGTTCAATGATCGTAGTGTTCTTGCAGACAGCAGCACTTCTTGGTCTGAAGGTTCCTGTATCAATCAAATAAGTTTGTTACTTTCTGGCTGAGATATTTAACTCGGCTTGTTTAGGAGCAAAGGTGGGAAGTAACCTGATAGGGATATGGTGAGAAAAGTGAGAATGTCACTGTTTCGTTTTGAGTGGTGCTGCTCTAGAATTCCTTGTCATGGAATAAGAAGAATCTGTAATGAGTAAGCAGATGAGTCAATGTGGCACAAGGTTACTGTGTCAGTGTGAGTGAAGCAGAGTTTATGCTGTCTTCAACTCCTATTTTAATGATTATGTATTAATTAAACTTGCAGAAGTGTGTTTTTCTTAGAACAACTGAATTGCTTCATGGAATCACAGAAAAGTTATGGCACAGAAAGGGAACTTTCATCACATTGCATCTGTGCTGCCTGGATAAACTAGCTGCTCATTCTAATCCCACTCTCTGGCTCCTGGGCCTTCACCTTTGTGGGTTATTGATTTTTGAGGCATTTCCAGGTTCCTTTTAAACAGGGTTTCTGTCTCAACCATTAAACAGGGCAACACATTTCGTGTACCCATCATCTGGGCGGGAAAGGTTTTCCCTCATGTATCCTCTAATCCTTCTATCAATCACAGTAAGTCTATGCCCTCTGGAATTGACCTATGATCTGGGAAACAGCTCTTCTCTGTGTACTCAGTCTAAACTCCAAATTATTTTGTACAGCTCAATTAAGTCACTCCTTAGCCTCCGCTAACCTAAGTGAAACAACCCCAGCCTATCCAATTGTTCCTCGCCTGCAGTTTTCAAGCCCTGGCAATGTATTGTAAATCTCCTCTGTACTCTTTCCAGAGCAATTATATTCTTCCTGTAATATGACCAGAATTGGGTGCAAAATTACACCTGTTATCTTGACAGGGTTTTACACTGTTCTGGCATTGCATCCCTTGTCCTGTATTTTGTACCTTGTCCAATGAAGGATACCATGCCAAATGCTTCCTTTCCTTATTTACCTGTCCTGCCACCTTCAAGAGCACAGTGGATGCACACTCCAAAGTCTCACTTTTTCTATTCGTAATATTCTCCTCTTAGTAACCTCCTCTTTATTGTGTATTGCTTAGCTTTGCCCTTTCCAATTGCATCACCTTACATTTTTCTGGTGATATTCCATTTGCCACTTTTCCGCCGATTCCTTGATGTTGTCCCTCAGTCAAGAGCCATCTACTTCCCTGTCAACTGCAAGGCTAATTTTTGTGTCATTTGCAAACATCCCAATTGTGCCTCCTACATTTGTAGTTGTATATTATCACACTATTACTGGGGAGCTGAAGAGAGAGAATTGAAGGGCCACTCCATTTGGAATTACTCTGCTGCACTTTGTCCTGTTGCAGGTGATTAATTAGTCTTGTAAAATGTTGGAATTGTTTAGTTTGGAAAGCTGGAGTTACTTTTACATTTCCATAAAAGTAAGTGTAGTTTTTCAAATATCCAGTGTTTTTTTTGTGTGTGTGTGTGTGTGAGATGTCATGTACAGCATTCTGATGAAGTTATTAATGGTTTGTCACTTGTGATGGGAGGTGATAGTTTAAATCACTTCATAGAGAACAATTGAAGATTTGTTTGGATTAATAGGATATGTGGAATAAACAGTTAAAATTGCAAAAAGGGCACATGAGAGAAGTCCATTTTCGGATTCAAAGCATACCAATACTAGATTATTTAAGTGTAATAATCGGAAAGG